CAAAGTGAATGTATCCTCTTTACTATGTAGGAGGGTGTAAAATAACTAAACCGACTGTTTCTAGACTTTTGATAATTTACCAAAATAAACTGTAGTTCCCATTACGAACTCTAAATACGTAATTTGAAACCACTCCGGTGAATAATGTCGCTAAAATCATCAAAATACCATATATTGGGATGTACCGTTATATGGGGGCTATATGAAGACGTGGACCTGCACAGACAATTTTCTGTCACAGACTGTAGTATCCGTTACGAATTTCACATACCTAATTTGAAACAATTCCGCTGAATAATGTCGCTAAATTCTTCAAAATACCGAATATCTGGAGGTACCGTTATATGGGGGCTATATGAAAGCGTGGACCTACATGGCCCTGCCTATTGGCAAATTAAACATGTGTGCAAAATTTTAGCCTTCTATCTCAATTCGAACGAAAGATAGCGTGATTACAACAGACAGACGAACCAACAGACGTACAGACAGACGGACATCTAAATTAACTTAGAATTTTACGCTGATCAAGAATATATATATATACTTTCATGGGTCTGGCAAGAGTATTTCGAGGAGTTACAAACGGAATGACAAAGTTAATATACCCTTCATAGTATGGTGGAGGGTATAAAAACAAAATACCAAACAATGGCAGATAGAAGAAATCCTGGATATAAATATTCCGACAAAGGGAGAAGTAACCGTTACGAACATATGATATGCAATTTTACGATGATACCATTAATATTTTTTTTTTTTTTTTGAAATCACCGGAAATTGGCCTTCACTGAATGGAAAATAACTTTAAAAAATTGTCAAGATGAGAGTTGCGGTGAGTTAAATTGTACGCATACGTGTTGTAATTATGAAATTATTATCTGTCATGATTTCAAAATGTGATAGAGCGCAACAAATGTTTCTTCTTCGATCCAACACAAAGGACAACTTAGTGCATGTGTAATAAATTAAAACTCATTTTGTCTGTAACAGGCCACTGACTGGTGGCGTGAACAATAATATAATTATAATTAACAAATTAAAAATTATTTATTTCATTATTTATTTGTTTCATTATTTATTTGTAAAGAAAATTATCGGCAAATGGCCAAATTCTGCATGCATTATTTTATATTAAGATAGGTCCAAATATCCGTCTACACATTGTGAAAGCATTCTCGAATACCAGTAGATACCCATAAAGCTAATTTCAACAAAGTTCGAAGTAAATATTTATGTATTGGCATAGAGTTGCAAATGTTACAAACTTTGGTTTATTCAACCCTGTATTGTCATTATAAAACCATTAAGAACCCTTAACTTTTTTCCACGTTTTTCAACTAATAGAATTTCACATCACTTTTATTCAAATTTAGATGATGATTTATTCTTGGAATAAATCTTTCCGTTGCTTAGCGCATTAATCTTTTGAGTTAAAAATCGGATTTCCATACCTTTTTTGCGCATGAATGCATTGGTTTGTCATTTGAGGGCTATTAAATTTTGCGAATACCTCGGACCCTTACCCTAAATCATATTTGATATAAAGAAAATGGTCTTGTTTTTAATGTTTCCTTTGAACGTGCCATTCTCTTTTTCTGTAGCCCAACAAAAGTCCGTCCCCTATTGATGCGTGTGATTTAAAGTTACAAGTTTTTCGTATGCGCCCTTTTTGGGAAAACGCCCGCTCATCGTCCTCATCCATGTTTACGACTAGTCAAAAGAAATTATCTAGCACAAAGAATTTTGCAGATGCTGACAGCTGAATTGTTTGTAAACATTTCAGACGTGTTGGTGTGTGCAGTGTGAGGTGTGAGATATCAAATGTTTGTTTGTTTGTTGTGGCCAAAAACTTATAGCTCCTATCAATGGATGTTTAAATACATACATACATAGTACATAAGTATAATAGTAGTGATAACTTAAATGGAATATAAAAAAAATGCGACTCACATAGAACATGTTATGGTTTGAAGTTAGTAATTACCCAAAAACAAAGTAGAGTCACCGTTTTAAAGAAAACTCGCATACCATAGTGGTAACCATCGTGTTTCTGCTGTAAATAAGAACTTCATCGGCTCCTATAGTTGTCTACTTACAAAGGGATTTTAAAGCATTACCTCTTACTTCGAGGTTCTCAATATTAATGTCAGAAAAATGAAAAAAGTTTGTGCGATAATTTTGTTTTTACCCTTATATAAGTTGAAAAATGGAAATACATTTTAGAATAATTTTATTTATTCCTAAACTTCCAGAATTCAATTTTCTCTCAGATTTTCTTCAGTGTGAAGAGTGTGAAAATGGAAAATATCGGTCCAATAATTCCGATAGTAACCTGAACAAACTTTCGAAAATCATACTAATATCTAGAGCTCCGAAATGCCAGCTGGAATACGCGTGTGTCAGTTTTTCGGACAATCAGGAAAGTTAACAGAAACTCTATTGTCGGTGTTTACAACGCCTTCCAAACTTAATTGCAGTGGATTTTTGCTTCAAAATATATTAAATATTCTATATTCTTAACGTGTTAGATTTACTGAACATGATAAGGAAATTATAGACTGTATTGATTCATTGGTTATTCTTACAAAAAACCAAGGGATGAGACGAGAATTGGTGGCTTTTTCCATAATTATGGTCTTCCCTGCCTTAACCAATGGTAAAAACTGCATTTTTCTTCACTAATAAATCGACGACCACCAACCGGAAAAGTCCACGTAAAAACTATGTTATTTGTTCAGTTTGACAAACAATTCAATCAAAACTAAATTTTCAGACTTTCGAGTTGTTATATATTCTTCAAGTTTTCACTTTTCGGAAAGAATAATAAGAACATATTTACCCTTTTCACGAAAAAGTCATAAAAATCCTTCATTTTAAAGTTTACGAAAGTAAAAAATGCATAAATTTTTCCTTTCCCAAACTATTTTAACGTCTCTATACAGGGTGTGATAAAAACTGCATCAAAGTCAAACGCCATAATTTTAAATGTTTTTTTTTTTTTTAATTTTATTACATGAAAGCAACAAATGTCGAAAAAAACATCAAATTTTAAAATAAGTTTAAATTTGTTCTAATTGGTTATCTTTGGAACGAAATACGGCCAATGAAACCGTCACACGCTGCCCAAATGTTGCTTTGCGGTATTTTGGTCCATTCCCGGCGAAACGCTTGCTTGAGGTGATCGACATACTAGTATTTTTTAGTGCCAACCTTGCTTTCCAAAATACTCCAGACACAATAGTCTAACGCTGGAAATGAAGCCAGAAACCTCATTTTGAACCCATTCTTAGGTGGCGCGTGCGATGTTGCTGAAACCTGTTGGAATGTCCAAGGCCTGCGGCCAAAATGTTTTCATGCCCAAGGCTTTAATACACCCTTCAGAATATTTTGGCGATAATATTCGCCATTTATTCTGATGCCACGGTCGATTAATTCGAGCGGAGAGGGACCATTGGCTGTTATGGCGGCCCACACCATCACCATGGCCGGCGCTTGAGTTCTGGTGGCCAACCGAAGGTGTGCATTTTCGGCTGACCTCTTTCGCAAGTAAACACGATCATTTTGTTTGTTTACGAGACACAAAAGATTTATTCACATTTAAATGCTGGAGTGCTCTAACGATAACCACTTGTGGTATTCCAGCCAAATATCAATCAATCACAAATCACACTACCACGCTTGAATTCCATCACGAATAACTTTTTTCTTGAAAATGCTCACCAAAATGCTTTTGTACGCTTGTAAACAATATAATGAGGTGTCACTGGAATAATTTTAACAGCTGTCAGACGTGTGGCTTAGAAATGACAGCAGTCTGAAGTTGGTAGCAGTTTTTTCATCTCAATCTGTATGTAAACCTTAAAACAAACAGTGGCCTAAATATCAAGTTTCAGAAGTTCAGCTTCAGCCATATTTAGCAGCGTTTAGTACGAATGTCCAAAACAACATCCTAGACATCATTTAGTACTATTCGAACAATTATAGTACGCATTTGCAAACCACCACCAGATCTCCACTCTCACCAGATACTAACAGAGACCTCAATATAAAATTTTGGGATTCCAGCTCTATACATTTACACAATACCAAATTTAGTAACATTTAGTAATTTTCGTACGCATTTCACTAACCACCTCAATATCTCAATCCCAAATGGCAGCAGAGACATAAGTATGAAATTCGGGAGTTCCTCCACCCAATACCCAATTTAGTACCACTTAGTAATTTTCGAACAATTTTAGCACGCATTTCCAAATCCACCCTCCAATATCATTCTCAGATACCAGCAGTCATCTAAATAGCAAATTTCTGAATTTTATCTCTATATTACACACATGAACACCGACCGTAATACCACATTTCAGATTTCAAGCACTATCTGTTCACCCAAATAACAAAGCGTACCAAATATAGTACCATTAACTGTCACTATTTAGAACATATTTCCAATAAAAAAATTAAAATTTCAGCTTTATCAGCACACCATAAAACCAAACGGGTCCACATTTAGTACCATTTAGGACAGTTCGTACAATTAGTATACATTTCCAATAAAACCTTTATATATAAACATACATTCTATCCTTGATTCTCTTACCAAATTTCAAGATTTTAGCTTCATAAGTTCGCATAATACCAATCGGAACCTTATAGTTTGATTTTCCTAAACATTTAGTACATCTATCCAGCACTTAATCAGTGACTCCCATTCAAAATTTCAGATTTGTAGCTCATTCCGTTTGTATAATACAAAATATTCAATTTTTAGTAAATTTCGTACACTTTTTGTATACATTCACAGCCTTATCCCACGCTACGCACCAAGACTGGTCCTCGTGCAAAATTCTCTCAATCAAGGTACTAGCTTCAGCCGTTTTGTCTGAGTGTTGATGAATCTTTGAGTCAGTCAGTCAATTACTTTCCTTTTTTATTAATATAGATAAAAATGGGCTCAACAACAAATTCAGTACTGGGTCCTAATAAAAAAGATAGGGTCAAAAAATATTTCTGTAGCTTATATATTTTAATGCATTATTTATTAATCACAAAACAATCATTTACGAGCCTTTGCCATAGGGAGCGGCGCTATTAACTGGCACATAGAAATAACCAGCTACACCATAATTCGAAGGAGCACCCATACGCACCGAACTATAAGTCGAACCACATTGGTTACCTACGGCAGCTGTATAGGTACCACACTTCATGCATGGGAAGTCATTCTTACGCAAAGCTTCGGAATAGTAAATGTAGGAACGGCTATGAGCGCAGGAGCCAGTCAAGTCGACACCACAACCGGGTTGTGTTTTGCCTCCATTGGGATAGAAAGCACCCTTGCCAATGGGCTCCAAGAAACCCAAGGTACCACCATTGGTTTGGATCGATTCAACGTAGCTAGCATCAGTGGTGCACAGACGAGTACTGCAGTCGGAATAACTGAAGAGTGGTAAAGCGGGATCCAAGCCAACAATTGTGTGTACCTTACCCCTCTTGACAAGTTTACCAGCGTAACCTGAGACATGGGCACCCAAACTGTGACCGATCAGACCGAGAGTGGAGAAGGACATGCCACCTTTTTCATTCAGAAAATCAATGAAGTTTGCAACCAATTGACCAACACTTGGCACATCATAGCGGGCACTGGCGTAGTTAATGGTCTGGGCGCTCGAACTCCAATCGACGCAGAATACGTTGTAAGAACCACTGGCCAACAGGGCTGAACGCACATCTACATTGACATCTGATTGGTAATTGTTGTTCCAACCGTGAATAACAAAGCGAGTCGGATTGTTCTTGTTGAAATATGAAGCGGCCAAGGCATTGGCATCATTCACAGTGATCTGTTTGGGAGTGGTGGGATTTGATTTCGTATACAAATAGAATTTAACTTGCAAAGCACGAGGTTCGATGGAGGCCACCTCCATGTCGTATTGTTCACGACTCATCCATTTGAAGCCACCATCGATTTGAGGGACCATCCAGCCCTTGGCCGTGGAAAAGTCTAGGCTGGTTCCACCAATAGCTGAGGTTAAAACAAGGCATTAGTACCATACTTCAACTAACTGAAAGAAATTACATTATCTAGGACCTACCCACAGCTACGAATGTGAATAGCAAAGCAATTGTCAACTTCATTTCGGCAACAGTTAGACATTTTGCAAAGAAAGTCATCTTATATAGATGTGCCCCCAAATCCATTGGCGTATGACCAGTGATAGGAGGGCTCATATCATTAAGAGTTATCATTGTTATTTTTGTTTTCATTCATTCAATGGCACACTATCAGTCCACAGGCATTCTGACAACAATAACTCTTGGCACAATTATCAATTTCAAATCGGCAATTCAGATTAGGTGAAATGCGTAAGCAATAAATAAATTCTAGTAGTGATGTTTATTTTTTTTATTATCGGCTAAATCTCAAGTACATGCATGTTAAAGAGGTTTTACTATGTCTTGTTATGTCCAATAAATTAAAAATAATTATTGTGATTTTTGTTTTATTATTCTTTAATGCTAGAAACATCGATCGCCATGTTTAAAGTTGAAAAATCAAATTGGAACTTGATTTATAAGACTACAAATTGGCAAAGGTGCAAAATTGCTATTTATACATTTTGATACTTCTAGATGAATGTGTTATACATTTCCAGTCAGAATTAAAAAATATTGCTTAAATACCAAAATAGATTTCCAGAAAGTTGAAGAGAAAGTTTCGGCCTGATACACAAAACATGCAAAGTTAAAAAACTTCTAATTCTTTGTATTCAGTAGAATAAACAATAAAGATAATCTTTACTTTTCGATTTCCTCGTGGCCCGTTTGAATGAATGTTGAAGGAAGCATTGATGTGGAATCATTCCTAAGCAAAAGAGATTTGATACAATTCTGCAGAGCAAATTCAAACCCCCTTCAATGATTAAAAACACGTAGAGGTTCCCCACAGTGTGAGGTAATCTTTTTGTGTTGCCAATGAAATGTTTGCAAAATTTGACCTCATGGAGATTAAAGTTGTTGCAAATGAGGATGTTGTTGTTTCGATTCCGTATGTTTTGAATGTATCAAATGAGAGAATTAGTGGGAGACACTTCGGAGGAAACTAGGGAACACAGGTTGCCACGAGTATGAATTGAAGACAAAGCAATACCTAGGCTTAGTATTACATTGAAAACTGTGAAAAAGACCTATATTTTGACTTGCGCTGTGATTATTTAAACTGTTGACGTTTATGGAGGATGTTCCGCAGTAGTTGCGTTCAGTAAGTGACATACGTCTGACATAAATATTACCTCGTACCAGATTTGGACAATACTACTCCTTCACCTTATATGAGATATGTAATGCTGAAATATGCGTGGGAAACCAGAGATAGTTAACCATAGTATTTCACTTTTTCTAATACTGAAAAGAATATTGGGATCTGTAATATTTTAAGAAAATCAAACATCTATTTTCAATTTTATTGCTTTTCTTTTTTAAACTTTTGTGAGGAAGGTACTAGAAGGAGTAGACCGATAAATTCCACATTCACATCAGATCTCTGGTTGAGAGAAATTTTTTGAAGAGAATCGCTAACTTCTTTCCCAAGTTGGAAGAGATATAAATATTGAAATTGTGCTCCGTTCTGGGGGACCCATATTTATTATCTCTACACCAGATCTTGTTACAGTAAAAATATTGGAATACGTGAAATTTAATAAAATCGGATGCTCATTTCGCGTTTTTCGATCTTCATGGTTATTAAAAGTTGTGACCCTAACTGGGGGGTATAAGAAAGGTTGGTCCGAAATATTCCATCTTCATACCAGATCTGCTGTTGGTATGAAATATAGGGATTTACCAATTATAAGAATTATAATTATTCAAAATGTTGACCCTTTGTGAAGCAGGTACTTGATGGAGTGGGCCAAAACTCCCCATTTTCACACCTTACCCATGACTGATAAAAATATTAGGATGTGTAAAGGTTGGACCAAAGCGAACACTCTTTTCGAGTGTTATCGTGCGCAACAACCAGCGAAACAGACGAATGAATTCGGTCAAAAGAGGGTCTAAACCCGTTATTGCGATTAGAAACGCTTTGGCCTTTCAAATGATATACAGGATGAGATAAAAAAAACTTCAACAAAGTCGAACGCCATAATTTTTACATTTTTATACCCTACAACACTATGTGTTGGGGGTATTATAAGTTTGATTGGGCCAGAATTTATGTAACACCTCGAAATATTGGTTTCCCATATAGGAAAGTATATATGGATCTTCCTAGCTCGCCGAGCTGAGTCGATCTAGCTATGTATGTCCGTCCGTCCGTCTGTCCGTCTGTCCATGTTAATTTGTAATCACTCTACAGGTCGCAATTATGGTCCGATCTTCACGAAATTTAAAATGGAGGTGGGGTTAGGGTCAGAATAGAGCCCTATTGCTTTTGGAGATTATCGCCAAATGTTTAGGGGTTGAAATGGACCAAATACTGAAAAAATGTCGGATTTTGCAGTAGCTATACAGGTCGCAATTATAGACCAATTGATGCGGAATTTCGCATGTAGCTAGAGTTTAGGGCGGGGAAGAAGCCTACCAATTTGGGTGGTCATCGGATAATATTTAGCGGGTAAAATAGACCATTTCTTTTGTGTTGAAAAAATTCAAAAATTTTCATAAAACCGCGAATATTTTAAATCCCGGCGAAATCACAAAGCCATGACAAGGTTACTTCTGATCTTTACATTGATGTTAACATCCTACAAATCGGATATATAGCAAAATATGTGCGATATATATGTCTATCAAAGAAGATATGCTTGAAAGATATCTTATATGTCGAGAACTGTTGAACTGATTTCGACAGTTCTCATTAATTCAGAATGGCCTCTTGGCAGGAAAGAAAAAACGCCTAAAAAAATAGCATAAAAATATTTGGTAATATTTGGTAATATTTCTACAGCTAACAAAACTAAGTAGTTAGGATATCAGGATATCATATACAGATCGCATTTATGGCCCGATCCTTACGAAATTTTGCATGGGGATAAGATGAGGGTCAGAATAGAAGCCTACTCTTTTTGGAGATGATCGCCATATATTTAGGGGTTGAAATGGACCAAAAAGCTGCAAATTTGTCAGCACGTCGTAATTATCGCCCGACCCTCACGCACATTTGAGTGGGGGTTACCGCACATTGCAAAACCAAGCAGTTTTGGATGGCCATCAAAAATATTCAATTTTGTAGACAAAATACGAAAATGTCCATTCCAGTGACTTTTTGGAGAATTCGCAAATACAGGAAAGACGCACTTCTGACTATTTCGTTAAGGATGATTTCGTTGAAGAATATATTCAAATGTCTGTATCTCATATAGATGCGTTTTAGTCAAAAACCAATAATAAATGTTAATCTTTTGCCACTTCTGAGAGATTATAGGTCTTTGGGAAATATTGGTTCCAGATCTAGGAAGACCATTTATGTGCAACATCTACCAATAAATTGGAAATGAGCAAATTAGTTTAAGTTGCTATTATTCGAAAATTAGAGAACGAAACCTGATGGTTTTCTTTTATTATTTGTCACAATATCTTGTGGAATTCATTCGAGTATCTCGCCTATATAAACTGTATCACTTATTATAGTGTTGCAGGGGATTCAACGGTCGGCCCCGCTCGACTGTAGCCTTTGCTTACTTGTTTTAATTGTTATTGAATGAAAGCAAAAAGTGTCGGAAATAGCATTAAATTTTAGAATAAGTTTAGATTTGTTCGAATTGGTCACCTTTGGCGCGTATTATGGCCTTCAAACGGCCAATGAAACCGTCACACGCTGCCCGAATGTTGCTCTGCGGTATTTTGGCCCATTCCCGGCGAAACGCCTGCTTGAGGTGATCGACACTTTGGTAATTTTTAGTGCCAACCTTGCTTTCCAAAAAACCCCAGTCACAAGAGTCTAACAGATTCTCCAGAGATTCTGGAGGAAGTGAGGAGTCTCATTTTGTAACCATTCTTAGGTGGCGCGTGCTGAGTCCTGTTGCAATGTCCAAGGTCTGCGGCCAAAATGTTTGCGTGTCCAAGGCTTTAATAAACCCTCCAGAATATTTTCCCGATAATATTCCGCATTTATTCTGATGCCACGGTAGATTAATACGAGCGGAGAGCGACCATCGGCTGTTATGACGGCCCACACCATCACCATGGCCGGCGCTTGAGTTCTGTTGCCCAATCGAAGGTGCACATTTTCAGCCTCTTTGGCAAGTAAACACGATCATTTTGTTTGTTTACAAACTGCTGGACAACGAGCTCTTTTGAGTCTATTTTCTTTCTTTTGCGGTGTAAGTTCTTGCACATTTTAGAATGTTAATAGCTTTTTTCTGGAAAATTCTTACCAAAATGCTTTTGTACGCTTGAAAACAATATAATAAGCTGTCACTGGAATAATCTTAACAACTGTCGGACGAGTGACTTAGACATGACAGCAGTCTGAAGTTTTTTGCAGTTTTCTTCATCTCACCCTGTATATATTTGAGTTATAGCCATATCTAAACCGTTTTTACTAAATTAGAAGTTCTTGATTCGGACAAATATTGCACATATATGGGAGCTATATCTAAATTTGCACCGATTCGAGTTCGTCCTTAGACCAAACACATGATTTGTGGAAAATCGGACAATAAATGCGGCCTATATATTGACCGACAGACAAACATGAATGAATCAGCTAAAAATGTTTTTCCATAAACATCAGATTCCTTCTGAATTTTACTAGCAAATGCACAATGGCATAATACTCTGTACCCCAGTGTGGCATAGGTTACCTGAAGGCTCAAAAAATTGAGCATTTTAATCACAAAAAAATATAAATTAAGAATTTGTAATACTAACTTAAACATAATTTTGTTTCAAGATGTACTAAAATACCATATATTGGGTGCTACAGTCATATAAGTTAGTGAGATTTATAGATTTGTTGGTTTAGAAGGCGATATCCATTATGAAATCCAAATACCTTTTATAACAAACGTGGCTAATATGGGCTATACGAAGACGTCGATTTTCTCTTTAAGGGGGCAGTAACCATTGTAGGATTTGTTTACTTGCGGACCGAATTGTTTATACCTCTGCCATGATATATTTTGCTATAATATCATGTTATCAGATCCAGATAAAACTTCTGTCTTATAGAATGTTCTACTAAAATATAAAAACTTTAAGTTACAAATTTAATGTCTTCATGAATGATATGTCGCAAAGACATTTGTCCACTACCTATATAATAAACTTTATTGTCACGCCATACAATCTATATTCTGAAATGAACTGTCGTTCCTATTTTTGTTCAGAAATTACAAATGTTGAAAAAAACTTTGCCCAAATAAATATTCACACAACAAAATTGTAACTAAGCAGATATGTTAACAGTCACGAATTTACTTCCTTGGCGACACAATGTCTTATCGATGTTCACATACTTTTGGCTTAGAGACACCAAAACAAAAACTTTTATAAATCTAGAAAAAAATAGTTGTTGTTGATTACATTGATTTAAGTCTCAATTAATTTATGTTATAATTGCAGTACTCGTACAATCGATGTAACCACTGGAAAATTAATGTTTTTCGTTGATATGGTCGATTTATTGGTAAAGCCTTATCTTCGAAAGTGGTAATGCTTAGTCACTTCATTTTAAACCTAATATTGGGAAATAAATCTATAATTTAATATAGTATTTTCTATAGCTTTGTTGTATCAATAACAATTATTACAACGGCTCTCTCCACGCTTAGATGTCTATGGTTGATAGGGTGCTGATTGGACAAGGTCAGTTATAATGTTGTTAACCTGCACTTCATATCACACGAGTACAAGTTCAAGGGATTGTTTTATTTTTCATATTTAGAAGTATTTACTATACGTTTTCTGTTTATACAAAAATTCAGTAAATAAGAATGACTTGAGCGATATGTTGACAATTATTGTATCGAGAACTTTTGCAATTGTACTGGAAAACTTGTTCAGTAAAGTTCAAACAATCAAGTTATCAAAACAATTTTAAGGAATTTTGTAGAAATATATTTCTATATTTCCTTTAAAATTGAAAGTTTTTCTTGATGTTGTAATTTGACAATATTTTCATAAATATGGGTATAAGGAGTCTCGAATGAGTTTGCTAAGTAAATGTAACTGAAAAAGTATCCAGACAAATTTATTTATTGCAAACGATGTCTTCATTTCCCTGAAAATTAGAAATGACTTTTATTTTTGACAATTTTTGTTTGTGGGGAGATTTCTTAGTTGTTACAAGAATAAAGTTTGCCTATGTGATGTAGGCGTCCAGACATTGCAAAAATAATCATAAAATATTCAATCACATTTTTTACACCCTCCATCATACGTAGTATGGGAGGTATATTAAGTTCATTCATCGAAATAATAATTTAAGACCTAATAAAGTATGTCTATTCTTGATCAGCGTAAAATTCTACGACGATTTAGCCGTCCATCCGTCTGTTGTAATCACGCTGTAGTCAAAACGAATTAAGATAGGAAGCTAAAATTTTTGCACAGATTAGTCTTTTGTCTGCAGGCAGATAAAGATCGGAGATTCAACTATATCGGTCCACTATAACGTATAGCTCACATATAACGGCACCTCCCTTTATATGGTATTTTGATGATATTAGCGACGTTGTTGACCGAAATTGTTTCAAATTCGTATTTAAAATTCGTAATGGGTACTACAACCTATGACAAAAAATTACTTATGCAGGACCACGTCTTCGTATAACACCCATATCTGAGCTGTATTTTTCGACGGAATTTTTGGGGAATTTTTCAAGTTCCTTTGGTTCGGCCGAACTTAGGTGCTTTTTTACTTGTAAATTCTAGTTGTTTACCTTACAATTTATCCCTTGCTTGTTGTTCAAAATATTTCGAATATTTTTATACCAGGGATAGGCACAAAATAACGCAATTGGTATGGGGTTTTATACCCCATTTTAAATCTTTAAACTTGGTTAAAATCAATTCAGATATAGTCAAAGCTCCCATATATATGTTTCATCAGAAATACCCCTGCCCTAGAGGGGTCCCGTTTTGGATCTAGCTTCTACATACATCTTCATATGATTTCACGATTATTGTAGACCAAATCTGTAACAATTAACGGAACTAATTATATATATTGCTCCGATACATGTTTGTTTGCACATGTGTGTATTTTGTTAGTAGGTTGAGTTTGAGAATGGGTCATGTCGGACAACGTTTTTTATAGCCCCCCATACAACAGTACCTCCCAATATTCAATATTTTACTAATTATGGCGACACTTATTACCGAAATTGTTTAAAATTTCGAATTTAAAATTCTTAATGGGTGCTACAGCCTATAACAAAAAATTCTTAGGCAGATCCACGTGTTGGTATAGCCCTCATATATATATAATAAATAGTGGAGGAAGTTCGGACCGGTCGAACTTAGCTGCTCTTTTACATGTTCCCATTAAGTTTGTAATTCCTCGAAATGCACATTGGGTATTGGACCCAACAAAATATATAAGTTATTCATCGGTAGAAAATTATAAGACGATTGAAATGTGTCCATCTATGTCAATCAGTCTAACTTTCGAAAACCAAAATATCTAAAATTTTTGCCATAGCAACGTTTGAATGAAATTTAAAATGCAGTATATAGATCTATGTTCTTGTATAGCCAATATAATTTGTAGCCTCAAGCGATATTGTTTTATTTTTGGCATTTGAAGTTTTTTAAAGAAAGGCAGGCAGAAAGTTGTCAATATAGGTATTCGTATAACTCCCATATAACGGTGTCTCAAATATTCAGTATTTTGATTATTGGAGCTACATATTGTATGAATTAGGCATCTACCATACTTTCCTGTAGTCCCTATATAACAGTATTTTCCCACATCTGATTTAAGAACGGTCCCAACTTCTCTGGCAGGTAGATGTTTATGCAGATCCACGTTTTCGTATATCCCCCATATAAGATGCCTCCCAATATTTGTCGCACATTAATGAAATTTTTTAAAAATTGGTTGCGCAACAAATTACGATTTTTCGGTGATATGTTCGCAATGCCAGTAGCTGTTGGCATTTAAATCCAGTAAAAAATCGGGAAGTTGCCGATTTTATGATACTCTACACCACTTTGCATATTAAGTCGAGCTATCCATAACGATTAAACGTTTCTATGGAGAATTTACGAGAATTAAATCGTTCGAATTATGATTGTTTTTGAATGTGTTTATGGCTTTAAAGCAGTTATAATTTAAAGTCGAACGGAACTAATATATTGCAGACATATTTTCCTCTGAATCGATTTCTACTAAATTTGACGAAAGCATTTGTGTTTGAACCAATAATAATCAAAATCCCCTTTTTAGGCACAGTAAACGTAAAATCGGATGAAGATATGTATGGGAGCTATATCCAAATCTGGACCGATCTCTATAAAATTAAGCATAGGTATTTCTGTGCTGAACTTGATAGTTGGTACCAAATATCGTTGTTGTCGAGAGCATTTTACTTGTGGAAATGCAAAATCGAATGAAACATATATATCTTATATATCTATATCTTAACTGATTTTCACCAAATTTGATACACATTTTTCAAGGATGTATTCAATTCGGGCTTATATTAACCATTTGGTACACAATAAACATGATATCGAGTAAAGATATATATGGGAGTTATATCCAAATCTGCATCGATCTCCATAAAATTTTGCAACTGCATTTCTGAGCTATATTTGATATATTTTCCCGAATATCGTTGTTACTGAGTGCATATTACGGCTTTGGAAGAAAAAATTGGCAAATCAGATTAAACATATAAATATGGGAGCTAAAGCTATATCTGAACCGATTTTAGGCACACTTATTTGGTCGTATGTGCAAAATTTCATCTTGGGAGCTATATTTACATTTTGGCCGATTATCTCTAATCTCAATAGGGTTCGTCCTTAGGCCAAACAAATCATTTGTGCAAAATTTCATCTCGATTGAGCAATAGATGCTATCTGTACTTTGTGTACAAAAATACATGGACAGATTGACAGACGGACAGACATGCATAAATCGACTCATAATGTGATTCTATGCATATCATCAAAATAAACTATGGGTCTACCTCGCTTCCTTCTCTATTTTACAAACAAATGCACAAACGCATCATACCCTGACAACAGTATGGTGGAGGGTATAAATACTGAACAGAAAAAAAACACTCACAAAAAACGATCGGAATTGGTATTTATCCTCCTTATAAGTCAAATTCCACATACGTCATAAAAGCCCTTATGAATGAGTTTAATACGGTAAACAGCTAGATAAGTTGTATAATCGATGTTTCTTAAATCATTCCAAGCTACCTTCTTCAAGAAAATTGCAAATAAAAAACTCAAGTTCTTCTTGTTTTTTTTTTCCTATTATTCAAAGGAAATAGTTCGAGTGAATATTAATCATCGACGAAAAGTAAAATCCGTTTGGAGTACCTATTGCTCCTCAATGTCTAATACTCGCTTTCTGTATCATTTAGCACGCCATACGGTGGACTATTTCGAACTGGAACATAATAGATACCATTAACCTCCTCCTCTGGATAGACTGCACCCATACGCACCGCTGACACAACATTGCCACAATCATTCTTTAAAGCTTGTTGATAGTTTTCACATTCGATACTGCGGAAATTGTCAAACTCAATAGCTTCGGTATAGTAAATCACTGAATGTTCATGTGAACAAGGACCAATATTTAGACTGTTACAATCGGGTTGACGGGTTCCGCCGTTGGGATAAAAGTCAGCATGCCCAAGGGGTCGTACAAAACCATAATGGCCCGCATCCGTGTGAATGGCTTGAACATAATCGGCATCGGTGGAAGCTAAACGTTTTTGTGGCTTGTCATAGCTGTAGAGGGGCAAAGCTGCATCCATGGCTATAATCTTCGGCAGTCTACCACTTTTTACATTCTTACCAGAAAAACCAGCAACATGAGCACCCAAACTATGACCGGCAACCATTAAATTGTCGAATGACATCTGAAAGTTATCACTTAGAAAATCGATCATTTTGGCTACCTCTCTGCCAACAATTGGAACTGCAGCTACCGACGTTTCATAAATCAGCGAACGTGCTCGAGGCCAATCAATTACGATGGCATTGCAATCAAATGTACCCAAGGTAGCTGAGGCCAAATTTCGAATAACATCCGTCTGATAACTTTGCGTCCAACCGTGTATAATGACATAAGTGGTTTTATTGGCATCAAAATTTGAAATCTCTATTGATTCCCTGGTATGCGTTATTATGGTCCCAAGTGTGGGATTTAAGCGGGTGTACAAGTGGAAGGTAACTGGCGAAGTTAAAAGTTCAATATCTTCAATCACTTCCATTGAATCTAGAAACTTGTCTGCCATATTTCTGTCCATCCAGGAAACAGTTCCATCCACTCGGGGTACATACCAACCATTTTGCCCATGAATTTGAGATTCATTGTTGTCGAAGGGTTGATTGGCTGAAACTAATTGTTATCGTTTTATAAATGTTTTTTGATTGACTTCTATTCGAATTACTTTGCCTTACCGCTTAAAATACAAATAGCCAAAAATCCAAGACGTTCCATATTTGACTGTGAAACCATTTCATTCCTGCACGAAGTTTTTATAGTTTGTAAATTGACTTCTAATTTACATGTATTTACATTTTTATCGATTAAAGGTGTTTGTAATTGGCCCAATTGCAAATTAAAACATAGACTTTGACAATTGAAGTAATTTGTTCAGCAAACACAATTGGTATGGATATATAAATCCGGTTGGATTGTGGAACTAGTTATATGTTGACCACTTAAAAATCGTTGTAAAATTTACGTAAAATACGTTCATATGAAATATGAAGTTGGAACCTTCAAGGGTATATATAATTTCAGTTCTTAACTATGTGGAAATGTTCCAACAAATAAAGTATGAATTCTACCTTCCCGCCTAAAAGGATGGGGGGCGAAATTTTAATACGTCACCATTTTATGGTTTTTATACCCTGCATGGGAGCTTTGTTTGTCAAAGTCTATATACTCTTGATCAGCATAAAATACGATGTCGACTAAGCGATGTCCGTCCGTCTTTCTGTGGCAATCACTCGATCTTCCGAACGAAAATAAGTAGGTCGATAAGAAATACCCTGATGTGTGTTAGGTCTGCGGTACTTTTGGTACTGAAAATGGGCTATATAGGTGCACGACTTGGTATAGTCCCATATAACTGTACCGACAGATTTTAGGTTATTTTGAGTGTTGTAGTCATAATTTTATTCCGAATTCGCAGAAAATTGGCAGTATGTGTTCCATACTTGCATAGAATTGTTAGTATAGGTGAAATATATTTTTTGTTTTGGTATAATATATTTAATATTTTTAAGATTTATGCAACAAAAACGTGAAAGCTAAATCAAAAGTCTTTTCAAAATCATGTTCTATATATATTTTACATGTTTCTCTTCCCAAATTTGGTCCCTACACACCTCACACACAGATTTCGCCCATTCAATTATTTCCTTAGTATTTGATTGACATTGACAACCAACAACAGCTCCCAGTTTGATTCATGTGTCACTGCCAAAGGATCGATCGCTTTACCAATTGTCGGCTTTACCAATTGCATGGCGTTTTCCACAAAGGTATTATGTCAATAATGACAGCGAACCATGACGTCGACATGGTTATATATGTATAGTGTGTATTGTAATTGTGAAGAAATAAACATTTTTAGTAATATAAAATGAATTACAAATGATTTTATTCTTTTAAAATTGCGTAATATGACGGTCTTTGAAAGTTTCAGTACAGAATTGTAGGCAGAGATCTGACACTGAATTATTAGAAAAAGTATTCAATCTTAATTACGAAAATTTTGTTAGCAACTTCTTAAATTTCCGATCTTAAAACAGTAGTTAAATTTGAAATTGAACATATGAAATAGAAATATAAATTTGAACTTCAAAAATACGAGGTTGTAACGCTCGTTAATGTATGTACGCTCGGTTAATGTATGTATAGTATTCATTCAGTAATCAGAATTAAAAAAAAAAACAACAATAAGAAAAGGTCAAAAGACTGGCAAGACCGATTATATGTGACAAAGGAGTTTATATTGTGAATTTATGTGAAGTAGATCATACAAAATATAAACCTTATTTAAATGCGTATCATAACCTTAGAGTAGTCACAATTTAGGAACTATATCCAACTCTGAATTTTGTACCTCAAGTACCAAATATTGCTGTATAGTGCATGATATGACTTCGATAAGAACTATATAAAAAATATTTATTGGAGCAATAGATATGCCGGACCGAGTTTCGAGTGAAGGACTTAAAACCCCAAATCAGATGAAACATATATATGGAAGCTATAACTATATCTAAAGCGGTTTTCGATAAATTTGAATTACTTGTTACGCGTTTGATCAAACAGGTAATTCCATGACAAGCGTTTTCACTGAATGTCATAAATACCTCTTATTTACAGCTCGTTCTAGGGGACCCATACACATAAGTAACAAAATTAGATGGACACACAAACGAGTGGACAGACATGCATCAATCAAACCAGAATTTGATTCTATGGAGATAACCAAAATAATTTTTTAATCTATGTAATTTCCTTCTGCATATTACAAACGAGTGCACATAATAACCTGTACCAGAGTGTAGTGTAGGGTATAAACATTACAATATACATATAAGTTTACGGTGCTCTTATAAGTATAAGCCTAAGATAGTATTCGTTTCGTAAGCTTACCCAATTGGCAAAAATGGCTTCAGAATAATATTATAATAAGCTCAGGAACGTAAGCCTTAAGCTTGAAAAAATTTCTGCAACTTTTTGATGCCTCCAGTCTGGAATGAGTTTGAATAATAAAACATATCACAGATTCCCTAATAAATGCATCATTATTTTATAAATTAGTTTCGGAAACTCTGTTTGTCCGTGATTTTGCTTTTAGCCAAAAGAAAAAAAATCCAATTGACAATTTTTTTTAAGTAAAAAATTGTCTTTCGGTTTTACCAACAGATGTTCGTTTATTTAAATATATTTTGACCAGCGTTATAATTATTCCAAATGTTGACCCTATATGGATGATGTTCTGAAGGAATGGGCCAATGTTATCGATTTCATATTTGACATAAGCCGGATACAAATATAACAATTTGCCAGATTTAGACTTCCTTTCATTATTTGAGATATCAAATCAGATATACCAAGTTTGAATCAATGACTTGTTTCGCATGTTGCTAGATACATAAATGTAGAAAATTATAATTATATAATTTGTGGAATCTAGCGTTAGTAGAAATATCAGAATTTGTGAAATTTGAAGAGAATTGAATGGAATGAAAATTTCCAATATCGAAAGCAAAATTTTTTGCTTTCTACGACATTTACTTATCCAACAATGCTAATAATTTAAATGTAAAATAATTCTGAAATCGACTTGAGCCCAATCTTACTTAAAAAAATAAAATAAAATAAAAACACGATAAAATTCATATCCAAAAACTCAGTTTCATTTATTCTTCATTGTTAACACCAAAGGGGTAACTTCTGTGAACAGGAACATAGTACACACCGGCAACTTTGTCCACATTATATACGGCACCCATACGTGAAGTGGAGAACTTAGCACCACAACTGTCAGCAACAGCTTGCTTGTAGTCTGGGCACTGAATGGAACTGAAATCATTCAACTCAAGGGCTTCAGCATAATAAGTAGTCGAGCGACCATGCGAACAGGCGCCTGTGACATCCAATGGGCAACCGGGCTGCTCCTCACCACCATTGGGATAGAAGGCACCTTTGCCAATAGGTTTAAGAAAACCCAAAAGACCGCCATTGGTTTGAATAGATTCTACATACACACCATCAGTTTCAGCCAAGCGTTTCTTGGGCTTGTCGTAGTTAAACAGAGGTAAGGCAGGGTCCATACCAATAATGGTGCCGATCTTACCGTTCTTAACGTTTTTACCAGCATAACCGGCAACATGAGCACCCAAACTGTGGCCAGCCACAGTCAAAGTTTCGAAGGACATTTTGTAGTTCTTGTTCAAGAAATCGATCATTTCAGCAACTTTAGCGCCCACTTTGGGCACAGCAATGACGGAGGTGGCATAATCAACAGAGCGAGCACGGGCCCAGTCCACAACAATGACATTGCAATCGAATCTTCTCAAAGCGGCGGCACGGATGTCCTTGTTCATGCCTGAAGTGTAACTTTGAGTCCAGCCATGGATGACGAAATATGTGGGTTTGCTGGCATCAAAATTGGAAGCATCTACCGATTTGGTAGTGGCAACAATTTTGGTTCCTTTGCTGGGATTAGCTCTGGTATAGACGTAGTATTTAACGGGGACTGTTGACAATCCAAATGATTCAATATTTTCCATGGTTTCTAAGTAGCTCTCAGCCTCTTCCTTGGACACCCAATCAAAGGTGCCATCGACGCGGGGCACATACCAACCATTTTCACCATGGATTTGTGCGTCGTTGTCATCGAAGGGTTGATTGGCCAACACTAAAAGGAAAATTAAATGTTTGAATGGTGGAATTGTCAACAAGGTTGAAAATTCCCCGAAACTTCAGTTCTTACTTACCGGCCACAAAGCAAGCGGCAAGAATCAACAAGAATTTCATTTTGATGAATGTCTTATTCATTACCAGGTATATCGTCTTTTATACAATTGTCCGGCATTTGTATGAGTAAATATGTTTTTGTAAAAACAAATCAAAGAGTTTTCTTGATTAATTATTTAGATTAGGCGGTATCAAGTGGGAAAGATGGCAATGATAAGAGACCTAGGCACCCAACGGCGCACAGTGTGACGATTTGCGTTATTAATTGCAGCAGCAAAATTTCATTGCTAATAACGACTTTATCTAGCACACAAGGCATTGGTCACCCATTCTACCCCCATTCTGAGCTATAGTTATGACAATCCTTTAAATTTTCTAAACCACTAAATTGGTGATTGGTATTTTGGAAAAAAATCAAATGATCGGAAATATGTTGAATAATATTTTAAATTTATTGTGAAAATTCGACAATGACAACCAGGAAGGAGTTTATTATCATTATCGCCTTCAAAAATTTATGGCATATACCTTACTTGTGAATTCAAATGTAGGTGAGATCTTTGAATTCGGTGTGCAGGTGTGACAATTTCTGTCGATGATTATTAAATTATCAAAAGAATCCTAGGTTCCACCTCGTCTTGTTTACATCAAAAAATAAGTATGGCTAAATGTATATTATGATTATGGGCTTAGTAGAATTTTATTCTATTTATTGACATTTAAGTTTTATATCGCCTCTAGAATTATTTTGATCTCCTCTTCTGATGTAAGTACCACCACAGTGCACTGTGTTGATTTCGTCTAATACTATATAATTTACTAAAAAGTTATTTGTCATTATTCATTTCTAATCAAAGAACAAAAAGCAAAACATTTTCAAAAAGCATTGATTTAATACTTAGATATGGGCTAATGAAAACTACAAGTGGGGTCTCTTCTAAACCGGATACAGAAAAAGTGCCTTATTTTTTAACAACTGAACTTCAAAATTGCTTCAAAGTGCAATTTTCTACTATTATGCGCATAAAGAGTATGAAAGTATTTGAGAATATAACTCTCGGAAATTTGTCATTCATGTACTCATAATAAGCATAAATAAAATACAAACATGTGATTGTCATTTAGCAACTCGGCGGTAGCTTTATATTAACATTACTATATTAAATTTTATATACGTACTGTGTTTCCTTGCTTTTAATGGCAAAACTCGGAAAAAAGAGAACAATTTTAAAATTTCTCTGAGAAAACTACTTTATGCCCAAACGGAAAAAATAAATATGTCAAATACTAAACAATCAGTATTTCATCCGACTTTACTTAGCTAAATTTATGAATTAAAAAAGTTTTTAAAGCAATCTGTCTCAGTTTTTAGAAAACTGGTCCATAGTTTCAGTGTTTAACACATATGTTGTTTTATAAAAACAACAATAATGGAATAAAGCCTAACTATTTCGGAACAACAAAAAATTTACTACATAGGTTTATTCAAATAAAAGACTACAAAACTACCTCGTATAAGTTGTAACCTTTTCTCTCTTTTCTCTTTGTACAAGTTTTAATTTGCAAAAAATGTTGGAGTGCAATTGCAGTCAACCTAACTAATTGCCAGATTTTAAAGTTTAGGATTATTTTTGTATTCCTTGATGTATGAAGGAAATTTTGCACATACACTCGTATCACCCCTCCGTTTTCTATATTTTCGATATTTTGGACTCTACTGAATCGTAAAGTAATTTCTACTGCAAAAAATATCTGTATAGATTTACGTTGTAGTATAACACATGGGTATAACCACATCCCCATCCCCATAGCTTCAAGGTTACATATAGAAACTCAGTAGTATAGCACATCAAAGCAAAGATAATACGTCATTGGTTAATAACATGCAACAGTTTTACTCATTTTTTTTTCTATATTTATAAATGAGAAAAATATTTGTACGTTTGGTTGATTGTTTGTTTGTAATTTATTGACACAACAACGGCTGGTTTTCCTGAAAATTTCCAGATATTATAGCATTGCATGACAATAATATAGGCTATATACATTTTTATACCCTCCACAATAGTATGATGGGTATATCAAGTTTGTCATTCCGTTTGTAACACCGTTGTTACACCTCTTGATCAGCATAAAATTCTGTCTGTGGAAATCACTCTAGCCTCTAAACGAATTGAAGTAGATTGATAAAATTTTACTCAAATGTATATTATGTCCGCAGAACTTTTGGTATTGAAAATGGGCTATGTAGGTCCAGATATTCGGTATTTTGATGATTTTAGCGACATTATTCACCGGAATGGGTACTGCAGCCTAAGACGGAAAATTGTCCGTGCAGGTCCACGTCTTCGTATAACCCCCATAAAACGGTACCTCCCGGTACATTATTCACCGATATTTTTTTTAAGTGTCACATCTGATTATTGTTATGGTTTATGCCAAAAGTTAAATGTGCAGGTCCATGTCGTCGTATAGACCCTAATATAACAGCTACATTCAGTATTTTTAAGATTTTAATAGAATTTTCAACTGATTTTATTGTTTATGAGATTTGCCAATTTCGTTCCAAATGGTGGAGGGTTTTCAAAGTTCGGCCCGGCCGAACTTACAGCTTTTTTAATTGTTGAAATTCCACTTGCAACTGGAGATACATCATCAGAATCGGAGATACCTCCAAACATTTTAGATACAGACACTGTCTTCAAATTTGGAATGTGTAACAGCATTTGGCACAAAAATCAATTTACCAAAATTCGTGTATTTTATTGACCAAACACGATTTGTATGTCCGATGCCAATGAAATTTAAAATATGTAACGGAATTTGGTACAAAAACGAGTTTGCTAAATTAAATTGAAATCGGTGCACATAGCTCCCATATTTTTTCGTCCGAATTCATGTATTTGATGCACCAAACATACCATATATGTCAAATGTCAATGTAGTATTGAATGTGTGAGGTAATTTGGTGTAAAAATATTTTTTGTCAAAGTATATTAAAATCGGTTCAGATTATTTTATTTGGAAACATAGACAACCACGCCTTTGCAATGGTATTAGGATCTGCCCAATGTTCTTGAGTTATAAGTGTAGTAAGTAATAAATACATTATATTCTACTAGTAAATAGAGGTATCTATGGTTGACACCTAGGTACATGACAATTAATCAAAATATTACCAATTTAATGTCAAAACTTTTCTGCCACAACGATATTTTACTTAAATAAAATAAATGTACCTTCTGGTGCATTTTCACACTCATACCATAAAAAGCAAGTAAAAAGAAGATAAGTTCGGCCAGGCCGAACTTTTTATAAACTCCACCATTTGGAAGTAACTTAAAAAAATCTGTCGAAAAATACTGCTCAAATGAAAACCGATGTATGGGGGCTGTACAAAGACGTGGTCATGAATAAGTAAATTTCTGCCATTGGCTGAAGTACCCATTCCTAATTTCAATCATCAAATTTGGAACAATTGTGGAGAAAAATGTCGCTAATATTATCAAATGTTAGCTATACAAAGACGTCGACCTTCATAGACAATTTTCCATTATAATTTATTGTACCTATTAAGAACTTTAAATACGAAACAATTTTAGTTAAAAATGTCCCCAAAATGATGAAAATATGGCTGCAATCATCAAAATTCCGTTGGAAAAATGGCTAAAATCATGACAATACCGAATATCGGGAGGAATTGATATATGAAGGCTATACGACAACGTGGACCGGTATAGTCCATCTTTAAATTTGACCTGCCTGCATACAAAAGACTGATCCGTGCAAAATTTTAGATTCCTATCTTATTTCGTTTTGTCTCTAGCGTGATTACAACAGATAGACGTACGAAATATGCTATTGTAATTTGATTTAAAATTGAAAAAAAAAATATTTTGAGAAATAAATGTGTCACCCTGTATATACAACTTAGAGAAGACAATGGTAGATGTGTCAACGCTGAATTCTTCTACCATGGATCAATCAATAGGTACTCATCCAAACCAACTGACTACCAAATTTAATGTCAACATGCATTATTGTGATTGAAAACAGAGAACAAAAGATAAACAAACAGCAAAAAGGTGTGAACAAATTTTGAAATATGCATTAACACCAAGTAATTGCACCATAATTTATTGCAGCTGATCATCTAGATTGAATTGACGAAACACCTTTTTTTCTTTGGCATCACAATACGAAAGCAAAACAAGTAAACAAACATTGAGTTCTGCCGCGCCGAACTTTTACAACTATCCACCATTGGGGTTAAGAAAACGTTTTTATATAAAAGTGTCAGAATTCAAAGGTGTTATACTTTAAAATACAAATGCCAGTAAGACCGCTTGGATAATGTTGTTAAACGCTTGAAAAAAACCATAACGTCAGCCAGGCCGTTATATGGGGGCCATACCAAAACGGGAACCTATAAAGACAATTTTGTACTTCAAGGATTGGTATCTACCAAATCTTCTTAAATAAATATGTGACTAGCATTATCAAAATACCGAATATATAATGTTACCGTTATATGTGGGCTATGGGAAAACTTGGACCTATACACACAATGTTCCGCCACAGGAAAATCCACCCATAACGAACAATATCGGGAAGTTCCGTTATATGGGGGATATACGGAAACATAGACTAATGTATCTGATTTTCTATGCCAACAATTCTAGACACAATACAAATTCTTGAGGCTCTACGACAAATGATGAGGGCTGCGCCGTGGTTTCCACAGACAGGCCGACATCGTTAAATCGACTTAGAATTTTATGCTGATTATGAATACTTATATTTTATGGGGTCTACGACGAATATTTAGGGATGTTACAAACGGAATGGCAAAGTTAATATACTCTCCTTTTCAAGGAGGGTATAAAAACAACCAAGGGTATAAAAACAACCAGTAAACTAAACGATTTCCATAGACGCTGAGAATTTCAATTATTTCAGTAAACTAGCTGATGTCCACATTTTCTCTCAATATACTTATAAGGTTATAAAAAATACAAACCCTGCTAACTCTATTTATATATAGGTTTTTTTTTAGTTTTTAAACTCTTTAAACATTTTATACCTAAAGAGAGAACGTACAGCATTAGACCACATATCTTTTTGGAAGAAACCCGTTTCAGGATATTTGAAGTCGACCTA